GACGAGGAACTAGAAGAGATGCGAAGGAGGGCTCGTAAATGATTACCCAAATGCTCGAGGCACCCAAAACGAAGAGGTTTTTCCGAATGCAAGGCTTCAAGGGTTCTAATTAAGGCCTTTAGTTGACCGATCCGGTGGACTATGCGGAAATCGGACGTGGCTAATTAAAAGGGACTTTTGATTTCAAAAGTCCTAAAACTTCTAGATGTGTGGCCTTACTGGTGAAACGCTGAGTGATATCCGATGCGTCTCGCAAACAGGAGGCAACTGAGACTATTCGTGATTGATAGGAAGAACCAGAAAGATGAGAAAGAAGGCTTTCCAAATGGGTTTCTATAAGTTTAGAGCAGTTAGTTCGTGAAAGCCCACACCGAAGGGTTTTTTCTTTCGGAACCCTAACCAGGGCCTTTGATTCAAAAGCCTAACCCACAAAGCAATGGGTCTTAGACCCAGCGCGGGAGCGTAACCAAAGCACCTGTATGGGTTCTAGACACTGGTTACGCAAGGTTTTTGGGTTTCGGTTCAGTGTGTTGTCTGCTCTATCTTTGATTATCGGTCCGCTGTTCGGGATCTGCCCTTGGTCTCATGCACCCAATGAGACAAATAGAATGTGGACGGGAACAACACCTTATTGGCTCGGGGCTACCCAGCTGGCGTGGGCGGTCGAAGTCCAATGAAGTTCGAAGACTTTTCCAATCGTCTGGAGGAAGACGTCCATCTAGCAAGGGGTTTTGAACGGTAGACCTTTTTCCCTGTATTTATTTGCTGGAGTGACCTCTCCAGGGCCGGGAGTGGATGATCAAAGGAAGACATTAGATGCCCAAGCAGTTAGCTTCGTGAGACTGAACTTCATGTGGCCTCTTCCCAATGACCTTTTACACACGATTGAATATGTAGCTGTGAGGAGCCATCCTGTTTAGCTCGCAGGGTCCTGGAGGCACGCAAGCCATCACACCACGTCAAGGTGCAGTCTCGTCGCGATGGCCAGTTCTATGTCTTGAAAGAATACCTGGTTTTCAACTTAAATGTAACATACTTTAATTACAGGCCAGGAGCCAACTAAAAAAGAGAGATGCGTAAGCAGAAAAAAGGCGATGGCAACTTTTTAGTTTCTTTATTGTACCACTTTTGAACGCTTTTGGCTTTTCAAGTATTTCCAGCTAACGATAACTTCGATCTTTGAGGCCACAGCCGCGACGCGATTCGAATAAAAGTTTCCCGAACTGTATAGGCCAGGTCTTGGCTCGCCGATTTCGCTGGTTCTTCCAGTTTCTGTCTGGGTCTAACACATGTCGTCCGACCTCATGCGATGTCGCAGAGACGTTTGTCGGATAGTCCTTGGGCAAGATATGCGTGGAGGGGCTATAGAATACCAAGGCGCGTACCGCTGCTATATATAGCCCCCTTCTCAGTGAAAGCGCCATGTCACACGGCAGCCAGAGATTTGTAGGTTACCGAAAAGGTCAACCTGGTTCGATATCGCGTTGGGAGGTCACCTCACCCACATCGCTGTCAATTGTCACGCAACTCCTTGGATAGAGAAACCGTGCAGTCTACTTCGCAAAATGTTTGACTAGTGCAGTCTTTGGGGTCAGGAGAAAGAATCAGTGGGAACAGCTGACGGGTGTCCTCAGCTAACTTCTGATTCCTCTCCTAGCACAAGGAGGCCACCAGGCTTCTCCGTCGTCTCTCAAATTGTTTGTGGGTTTTCGCTTCGAAGAGAGATGCTATTCGTCACGTCGCTGCCCGCCGGGATGACCCGACGCGCATCAAGAAGCCGGTCAGAGTTGGAGAACACCCAGTGTCTTACAACTCGGTAGGTTAGACCACAACTGTATAAACTAGCTAAGTACATTGCGTTCCAAATGGTTGTTCAGTGTAAATCTACACTCCTTGGTAGTTACACTCACGGCAAACTCGTTTTATTATGCAACCAGTATAGTCTCCTACAATGATTTACGCAATTCAGCACCACAAAAGAACGCATAAATCGACCGATGACGTCATTAGGGATTCCAAAATTTGCCATAGGGCAGTCTTCGAATCTCAGTCAATTCCAAAACGACCTGAGCCAGGGAAGTGGCAATAAAAGAACTTATTCAGCGATATTCATGATATTCTCGAAAATAGGTTAACAATCCCCTGTCGGAGGAAGACAATCGTTTAATGATCATAGAATAAGTGTACTCAATAAAAAGGAGGATTATTCAACAAAAAGCTCTTGACTTACTCAAGTAAATAGGCCGCCAAACGCAAATGATGAATCATCCGCACAAGGAATTCATCCGGTGGTAGAATAGCAGCGCCAATTTGCAACAATTGCAAATCGCGATCAATCATTTCGACGCGAAGCACAGGGGAGAATATCTGGTCAACCTGAGTAAGAAGCACAGGCAGAATATTTCCATCAGCCGACAAAGAGAAAGAATGGATTTTCGAGGTAAAACGACTCGAGAAAACGCTATACAGGTCAAGTTCCTATAGCAGCGTTTGTAGTTAATTGAGAAAAACTATCAGTTGGTGTACTCGTGTGCATTCACGACCAGGTGTGGTAAGGAAGGAAAAAGGTAGTAGTGTAGGTAAATGGGGGCTTGAACATCAACACAGACCGGAATCCGACCGTTTAAAAACCAACACCGATGTTTAGACAACTACAGACACATAATGGAGGAAAAAAGTGAGTTGTGAAGACAACCGATAGATGAAAAGCAACACTTACGGACTGTTGAATAGCAAATCCGTTGCGAACCCATAATTTCGCGTTGTATTGAGCAATAAAATCGATCATTTGCAGTGGGCGTTCAATAAGGAGGTTGACGAAGGACTGTATTCGGGTGAACGAGTGTGATACATGAAGATAAAAATAGTACGAAGCAAAGCAAACCAATGAAGGATATACACATTCGGATAACTAATTGCCCTGCAGCATTAAACTACTCCGCCCTACATCACAAAGAATACAGACTTGGGTGCAAAAAGTGGACAATGGAGTGTCTAGTGAGAGCACCAAACCATATAATCGTGAACCTAGACCATGAAACAAGCAATGACGGAACAAAAAACGATCTTTTGAGGACAAAATGAGTATAAATCGGGTATGAGCCGACTCAAACCTGAATTACATCTGCTTCAAAGTAGGAAACTTGGATTAGCCCATTAGATTGTTAAGAGGCACCAGGCACAATTGGTAGTCTTGGGTGCGGGTTTCACTCCTTGAGAGTTCGAGTCCTGACAGGGACAAAAGTACACACTGTTGACGAGTCCCAAACAGGAGGAAACATCTGTTTAGTGCTCTCAGTGGGTTATCACAAATATTTCCATTGCATGTAAACGCACGAACTTTTGAGGAATTAACCATCTCCCAAGGAGTGAAACCCACACCCAACACCACCAAGAATGCCCAGCGTCTCTTAACAATCGAATGAGCCAATCCAAGCTTGCTACTCTAAAAAGCAAACAGTTGTTGTTTGAACGCCGCTGTCTACACAGCATTGCACGAATCTGGTGGGGCAACCAGGGGAGCAATGCTACGGTTAGACGTAGAGCTTTTGGTAACCGCGGTAGCTAACTGGAGCAAGTAGTCCACAACCATGGCCTCTTCAAACATAGAATCAATAAAACTAGGTTTTACATGAATGTTCCACTCTTCGCCATTTTACAGTTTGCTCTTTTTCAGTGATGACTTCTCCTTTTACCATAATTCAGATTGCGTAATACGAAAAACTTCTATGATCCTTACAAGACGACACCGGGCGAAGTCTACGGGTCATTTGGAAACAGTGGACAAAAACAATTTTTACATTACGGTTCTTCGTAACAGTCCTTGAGGTAACCCAAAGCGTAAATTGCTGCTTCGGTAAAAGAGTCAAGTGTTTATCTTACGGACAGGTTCGCTCTTCTGAAGGGTGATGCTGGGGACGTCCCCATCGTACGAAACTAGCCAGGAACTCCACGATCACCATCATGGAGCNAGTCAGTCGCACTGAAGGAAGTTAGAAGAACCGCAATCGAGCTCAGAATAGTTTATATCACATTAAATAGCTACGTAAACAAGTAAGCAAACAGGCGAATCATCGTTTCAATTCGAACTTGTGCTGCATGGTTATTTACAATCGATTCGCGATGAATAAACCATAGCGGAAAAAAAGAAATTCCGAGAACATACTAAAAAACAGTAACTGCGTAAGCAAACCCATGACAACAATGCGGGCAGTAATAAACACACACCCCCCCCCCCC